AAAAAAAAAAAAAAAAGGTCTGGTCAGGGTCAGAAAAAAAACCTTAAGAGAATCTGATGGGAGAGAAAACTAGGATCATAAGTCTTTAGGGTCACAATGGAGAAGGGAGGGAGGGACGGAGGGAGGGAGGAGGAGGAGACTGGAGTTCAGGTTCAGAGGGCCAGTGGGAAAATAACAATGCCCAGAGTGGGCATGGTACTGGGTAGGGGCTGAAACAGAACAGAGGTGGGCAGGGTCAAGAAAAGCAAGTGGAAAGGAATGGGCCATGGGCAGTGGCTCACGCCTATAATCCTAGCTCTTTGGGAGGCCAAAGTGGGTGGATTGTTTGAGCTCAGGAGTTCGAGACCAGCCTGAACAAAAATAAGACCCTGTCTAAAAAAAAAAAAAAAATAGCCGGGCGGTGTAGTCCCAGTTACCAGAGAGGCTGAGGCAAGAGCATTGCTTTGAGCCCAAGTTTGAAGTTGCTGTGAGCTATGATGCTACAGCACTCTACCAAGGGCAACAAAGTGAGACTCTGTCTCAAAACAAAAAACAAAAACAAAACAAAACAAAAAACCTTCACTTTGACAGTTTCATACTTACAGAAAAGTTACAAAAACAGTACAAAGACTCCCTATACACTCACATTCCTAGAGGGTTAATGTTTTTCTGTTTTTGCAGTTTTGGGCCAGGGCTGGGTTTGAACTTGCCACCTCTGGCATATGGGGCTGGCGCCCTACTCCTTTGAGCTATAGGCACCACCCCAAGGGTTAATGTTTTAATTATTCTTCATCATTCTCTCTCTCTACACACACTTCTACCCAAAAGTATTTGCATCAAAGTGGAGGCAAATGTCTCTAAGAGCTTCCCTGGTCCTGTTACTATGCATTCAGTACCAAGCAGAACGGCTCAGTAGAGGAACTCAGTAAAAGAGTATAAAATTGTGGGAAAGCAGAATGGTCAAAGAAATGAAGGAGGGGTGCCCATTTGCTCAGGCCTCGGCCTGAGGCCAGCATGGGTGAGGGCTTGGGTTGAGGGACAGGCGTGCAATGGCATCCCCTGAAACAGGCCAGGCCTCAGAGCCTGAACCTTTCTTGTCCACTATTGCTTTGCTACTGCCCACCAGGCTCTGGCACTAAGTGAATGAAGTGCCTAACCTTGACAGAGTTCATTTAATGCCAGACTGGCTGGATGCTTCTGGCAGGCTCTGGAGCCTGGAAGATTAGGTGTTCTCAGAAGAGGGGCAAGTCTGTTTGGGGCATGTAAGCAAGGGAGGGTGGCTGGGGAAGATGAGTGGAGTGAAAATAAGTCAATTCTGCCCCTGATGGAGCCAGCAAATGTCCCTCCCCTTCAAAAGGTAGCACAGCACTAGAATAAGGATGACAGGCAGGGTGGGGTGCAGGAGGCAAGCTGGTACCTTTTCCAGCACCTCCCCTGGGTACAGGGGGAAGGGGTCCTGAGCCAGTCGGATCTCCAGGTCAGCATGGCGAAGTCGTACTTGCCCTGTGACGTCAAACAGCACGGAGCCCTGGGCATCCCTGGACACAGGGTTGGCCACTGTGCAGTAGTGGCGTGGGGGCACAGTCACCATGCGCACAGGGGCAAATAGTACCCTGTTGGAGGGGTGAAAGGAGGTGTGAAGACCCAGGGGACCCAGGTCTCCACTCTCGAAGGAGGCAACAAATACTAGAGAAAGCTCCTTGTCACCTTACCAAGGGCCACTCCTGCTTGGGAGAGGGGAGGCGAAGGATGATCATGCTAGCCGAGGAACAGGCCCCCTCAGCTCTGAGCCCCAAGCCCTGTGGCCCAGCCCCCACACCTACCTCTCATTGTCCTGCCGGATGTAGGTCTTTGGTCCGATCTCTACGCGGGACACATTGCTGTTCTGGTCTAGCACGTGTATGTAGTGGTAAGGGGGGATGCGGATGATGGACTCTTCAGTGGCCATGGTCACTCCCAAACCTAGAGCTAACAAAAGGACACAACAGGATGAGTACAGGTAGGGCCCCTCTGTCCCCAGCTCAGATTACCACCTCCTCCAATCCGGTGCCTGCATCTCCCTTTCTCCTTCCTATTTAGGAGGACATGGCCCATCCACATGTCACCTCTGCTGGGCACTGTTGACAGCAGTTAGGCACAGAATTCCAGGGTTCCTTGCCAATTCCTTTCCTCACTCCCATCAAGTACCTCCCCTAAACTGCCTGCAGTTTAGGGAAGGGCTTTAGATCACAGTGTTCCCAGTCTCTAAGGTACAGAAATACAGAGATGGCAGAGTTGGTAAAGCCACGGAGGCAGCAGTGTGGCCTCGTCCAGCGTGCAGTGGGCCAGTGCAGCTCTGAGGCTCTCTCTGGGTCCTCCAGAACAGGCAGCTTTATATCAGGGCGCACTGACAGCTGGGCTATAGTTGCCAGCCCACAGCCACAGAATATTTGCATGATCTTTGCCTGCACTCCTCCCCACTACCTGTGCAATCCAGGGGTGAAGTGCTAAGACCTGGTCCTCCTCTTGTGAAAGATCCCTGACAACTGACCTCCCATAGAATCAGCTAGATTAGTGACAATGCAGATCATTCCAGCTCTTTTCTTCCCAGTTCGCTTTGGTTTGTTGTCACCCTTCGCTCCTTACTGTTGGGGGCAGAGGTGGGGGCAGGGAGGAAGGGGAAAGTGGGTAGAGGATTATTGTATTCCACCTGCCCTGCCCTTCCTTATTCTGAGTCCTGGGTGATTTTGTCCAGTGCTTGGCCTAATCAGGAGCATAGCATGCCCCACCTAAGGCCCATCCCTGCCCATGTCCCTTTGAGTCATACAAAGGGGACAAAGCTCATTAGGCATCTCAGAACTTTGTCCTCTGAGATTCTGGCCAGAGACCAGACATTGTTGAGGACACCACCAGAAAGAAGTGGCTCTTTACCCACTCCTCCATCCACCCAGTTTCCAACCTGGATGAGAAACAGAAGTAAGAAGAGGAAAGAAAAGGGAGTGGCTTGGCACAGGAGCCACAAATCACAGAATCAAGGCTGGAAGAGGCCTAAAAGGAGAACTTTACTTGATTCACATCATCTGTAAAACTTCAACTTTTTTTTTGCTGTTTAAAAATTGTGAGTTTTGGCTCTTTGAGGCCGAGGTGGGTAGATTGCTTGAGGTCACAAGTTCAAGACCTGACTGACCAAGAGTGAACCCCATCTCTACTAAAAATGAAAAACTGAGGCAAAAGGATTGCTTGAACCCATGGGTTTGAGGTTGCTGTGAGCTATGATGTCAGGGCACACTACCTAGGGCAACAGAGGGAGACTCTGTTTCAAAAAAAAAAAGGAAAGAAAGAAAGAAAGAAATTGTGAGGTTTTACAAACTCTTTATTCCTGCTTCTCTTCAGGAAGGAGACCAGCAACACTGAGCTCTCATTCCCATGTGGCAGAATTGGCAAGAGCCACGCAGCAGCTGCCCCTTTAGATAGGACATGAGCTTTCCTGCTTACCTCAGCCCTCATTGGTCCCTACTGTCTTACCCTTGGGCCAATGCACTCACATCACCTGCCATGGTCCTGTTTAAAACTTTCCTTTTTTTTTTGAGACAGGGCCTCAAGCTGTCTGCCTGGGTAGAGTGCCATGGCATCACAACTCACAGAAACCTCCAACTCCTGGGCTCAAGCTAGTCTCCTGCCTCCACCTCCCAAGTAGCTGGGACCACAGGCACCCGCCACAATGCCTGGCTTTTTTTTTTTAATTTTTTGGTTGCAGCCATCATTGTGGTTTGGCAGACCCGGGCTGGATTTGAACCCACCACCTTAGGTGTATATGGCTGGCGCCTTAGCCACTTGAGCCACAGGCACCAAGCCTGTTTAAAACTTTCTAACTTGGCTGCATTGCAAAGGCTCATGCCTGTAATCCCAGCACTCTGGGAGGTCAAGAGGGGTGGATTGCTTGAGCTCAAGAGTTTGAGACCAGGTTGAGCAAAAGCAAGACCATGTCTCTACTAAAAATAGAAAAACTAGCAGAGCATGGTGGTGCATGCCTAGAGTCCCAGCTACTCTGTAGGCTGAGGCAAGAGGATCAGTTGAGCCCAAGAGACTGAGGTTATTGCTGTGAGCTACAGCACCAGGGCAGTCTAGCCTGGGACAACAGACTGAGGCTCTGTCTCAAGTAAAATAATAATAAAATAAAACCTTCTAACTCAGCATTATCCAATAGGACTTCCTACATTGATGGGAATATTCTAAATTGGCGCTATCAGCTCGGCACCTGTGGCTCAAGTGGCTAAGACGCCAGCCACATACACCTAAGGTGGCGGGTTTGAATCCAGCCCGGGCGGCCAAACAACAATGATGGCTGCAACCAAAAAATAGCCAGGTGTTGTGGCGGGCACCTGTGGTCCCAGCTACTTGGGAGGCTGAGGCAGGAGATTCACTTGAGCCCAGGAGTTGGAGGTTGCTGTGAGCTGTGATGCCACAGCACTCTACCCAGGGGGACAGCTAAAGGCTCTGTCTCAAATAAATAAATAAATAAATTGGTGCTATCTGGCTCGACACCAGTAGCATAGTGGTTACAGTGCCAGCCACATGCACAGAGGGTGGCAAGTTTAAACCCAGCCTGGGCCAGCTAAACAATGATAACTACAACCAAAAAATAGCCAGGCATTGTGGTGGGCACCTGTAGTCCCAGTTACTTGGGAGGCTGAGGCAAGAGCATCACTTAAGTCCAAGAATCTGAGGTTGCCGTGAGCTGTGACGCCACTAGCACTCTACTGAGGGCAACAAAGTGAGACTCTTGTCTCAAAAAAAAAAATCAGTGCTGTCTTTGGACTGACCACATGTGACTACTGAACACTTGAAATGTAGCTAATTTGATGGAGTAAATTTATTTTAAGTAATTTTAATTTAATAGCCAACTGTGGCTTTAAGTAGTTGGCAACCAGATAGGGACAATGAGTCCTTCAGGGCTATATGGCATGACTAGTGCTATCTTTTTCCAAAGGCAGTGACAAACAGTGGTTAGGGGCACACATCCAGACCCCAACTGCCTGGGTTCAGGACTCTGATCTGCTGTTTTCATGCCTTATTTCCTTAATGTCTCCTGTCATTTTGAAAGAAGTTAGTTTTGATCTGTTTTCCTTGTACACTTTTCACCCTGGAGGGATGTTATTCTGCTTTTCATGGTTTTATCTTTCAACTTTGTGTGGAATTTGACCTTGATCTTTTTCTGTTGCTCGTTTTTACAAGAGGTTAGTGTCCCTTAACTTATAGAAGGATGGTGTTCTTAGTGTCACAGCTCCCTCTTCACTGTCTGGCACCCAGGGGTTGGCATTCTGATTTTCGGGCTCCATTCCCCTTGCCACTCTTTTTTTGAGACAGAGTCTCACTATATCACCCTCAGTAGAGCACGGTGACATCATAGCTCACAGCAACCTCAAACTCTTGGGCTTAAAGCAATTCTCTTGCATCAGCCTCTCAAGTAGCTGGGACTACAGACGCCTGCCGCAACACCAGCTATTTTTGTTGTTGTTGTTGTTGTTGCAACTGTCATTGTTTTAGCAGATCCAGGCTGGGTTTGAACCCACCAGCCCTGGTGTATGTGGCCAGTGCCCTAACCACTGAGCTACAGGCACTGAGCCTCCCCTTGCCACTCTTATTCTCCTTGCTCTTCTCCATTGTTCATCACACTCAGCTTTGCCTCCACTCTCCAGTTGCTCCACAATCTGGGGCCCTGTTCTGGAAAGACCCCTTCCAAGCGTCCACAAGGCTAGGACTGCTTGGATGCTGGCTCTAATCCTCCTGTGAGTGGCTACCTTAAATCCCTTCACAGCCCAGTACTGTTTGTTCGCCTACCAAATGGGACTTGGCAAAAGCATCTCCCGCACTTGTGAGGGCTGAATTAATACATAAAGCACCCAGAACGGAGCCTGGCTCTTCCTAGCACTCCATGTTTCACTATAGAGGGGGGAATAGTGCCTGAGGCCCAACTTTCCCGTCTACTGAGGGACTAGAGAATGTGCCCAGAGCAGAGGGTCCCTATCCCACCTGAATCTTGGCTTAACCTGCCCTTGTTTATTGGTCAGGAGGATGGCAAGTCTTCTGTCATCCCAGCTGTGAGGCTAGAACAGCAAAGTAGGGGCATCCAACAGCCAAGAGAAACATTTTCCAGTGGCCCCTTTGCCAGATTCTCTGCAGGTGGAAGCCAGGCACAGGAAACCAGATGGGAGAAGAGGAAGGGCTGGGGCTGTAGGCGGAGGTATGGACAGGGCTCCGAGGCCCCACAGGGGAGAGTGAGCTTGAAAGAAGGCCAGGTGAGGTTGTGAAGGATGCTCCTGCACAGCCCCCATTGGCTCCTTTCTGGACAATCCCTCGCCTCCCCTCCCCCCGCATGAGTGAGGCCTCTCCACCATCTGCTACCCCAGCTGGACCTAGCTCAGTGACTCAATTAAGAGTCATCCTCATGACGGGGCTCTTGTCTTGTTCTAAGGCCAAGCCCTTACCAACTGCCCTGCTTCAGTACCCTGTCTTACTTCCCTGACCACACACCTGGAGGCTCTAAAGCTGGGCCTTCCACCTGACCACCTGCCAAGTTCACCCCAACTAGATCTTGCTTTTCCACTCTTGCCATTCATAGAGGTGAGCCAGGGAAACCATTTGACTCTGGCAATGTGTCTGTGACAAGTCTCAGATGTAGACTTGTGGTTTTCAGATGATGTGTACAGTTATAGCATTTTACTTCCAATATAACAGGGCCCTCCAAAGATAACAATTAAGGATTGTGTTGACCTTTATAAGGTCCTGCCCAGCCCTCAGGGTTCACCTCAATTCCTCAAATTCATCCACCCACCATTTCCCATCAATCCCTGCCCCAGCCTCTCCTGATCACAGCTCCCTCAAATGTTAAAAGGCTCTTCTAAGAACCATAACCAGGGTGGTACCCATAGCTCAGTGGGTAGGGCACTGGCCACATACACTGGGACTGGCAGGTTCAAACCCAGCCCAGGCCAGCTAAACAACAATGACAACTGCAACCAAAAATAGCCAGGCATTGTGGTGGGCCCTGTAGTCCCAGCTACTTGGGAGGCTGAGGCAAGAGAATCACTTAAGCCCAAGAGTTTGAGGTTTGCCGTGAGCTGTGACGCCACAGTACTCTACTGAGGGCAATATAATGAGACTGTCTTAAAAAAAAAAAAGAACCATAACCAATTTTCACCCAAAGTCTCACCAGTATGCCCCTCCCCCCATGAGGGTGGATGGACACAGAACCAAACAGCCTGTCTAAGCAGAAGCTGGGCTTACCCTCTAGGTTCTAGATTCGACTCAAAAAGTAAAACTTATACCACAGCAAAAAATTAACAAATGAGACATGAATCATT